GTCATGATACTTGAAATAACTGCTTAATGGAATTGTTGGTTTAAGGATCTTGTCCTACTCATTGACTGCTTCAATTGGCAAATAGCACAAATAAATTAGCTGTATCTAATGTATAAATTTGCCTGGCTGATCCATGATCATGGCATCTTTCAGAGCTGAGGGAACAGAGTTTACGCAGTCAAGTGCTCCATAAATTGCTTTGTATCATGGGCCAGATTTAGGATCTCCAACTGCCTGAAGAGTTGTGCTCACTTTCAACACAAAAATGTTAAAGTTTGTGTAAAAAGTTTGAGTAAAAGTTTGATCCTCATCCAACCTGAGAGAAGGAAAATACAATTTCACTGCTAAGAAATGCTTTTTCATGATACACTCTGAGAACAAACCATTTCAGAGCTGGCCTGTACAGAACTTCCAGACCATTTAATGGTTTCACAAGACCTAAGAAACATACCCAATCCCTATAAAATTAGGCCCATTCCAGTAATCCTGGTTCTGCCACATGAGCAAGGTAAGTGACTTTATGCTCTAATTTTAGACTCAATACAATTTGCTGACTAAAATGAAAAATAATTCCCATTGGGAGAGGGAGCAAATTGATAATAATGTTACTGAAAATTGGATATAAAGGCAAATAATCCTTCTACTTGCCCTCTCAATCATGGGCAACCAAAGGCTCCAACCAAAGTCACCAAAAGACTTAAAGCAGCACAACATCCTGGCTGCAAACAGCAGAAGCAGGTGGCTCACACCAGTATCTCCCCCAAGCCGCAAAGGGTTACATTGCCGTATGTAGCTACTAAATATGCGTGTGAAAATTTCAAAAGCATGTGAGTGAGCCATCTGGCTCCTGCTCCTACTGGGTATTTGGGAATGAAAAGGGAAACTGGAAAGGTAAATAGTGTATTGCTTGATGTGTTGATTTTCAGCTGAGATTTCTCTCTTCAGTGCCTAGCCATATTTGTCCATCTAAATGAGTGGGATTGACTGTGTCTTCCCAAAAACGGGTGAAAAAAATTGGCATGTAAGCTCTGGGAAAGCTGTGCAAAGCCACACTGCCTCATGTAACAGCTGAGGCAAATTTATTCTGGTCTGCATCCAGAAAAAGCCCTCAGCCTCTCGGTGTCTAACTCAGGTGTAAAGATGGTGGGAGGCTTCTCACCCCTGCACAAGCAGGATCAGCTGCCTTGATCTAAGATTCCAGAGAGCTGCCCCAGACCTGGGGCAAGCATCATGATCACCACAGAGAGTCAGGCATCAGCAGGTCTGGAAAGAGAATGGTTTCCTACCCTAAGTGTGTGTGCCAAGCCAGCCTTTTGTTGTTGTTGTTGTTGTTGTTTTTTATTATATTTTATTTTTCCCTGTGGTAGAGATTGAGTGGTGGGAGAAAGAATGATGCTGCTTGGCTGGTAGCCCTCTGGTTTGTCACCTGGGCCAGCACCTGTGTCATCTGGGAGGCCAACCTGGCCACATCCCTGACATGCTCCCATGGTTGGAAGGTCTCAAACCTGGCCGGTGATAATACTGTTGGAAAATATACCAAGTTTAAAATTTATTTTATTTTATAACTTTAGCCAGTTTTCACAGAATCCCAGAAGGAACTAGGTTGGAGAAGACCTTTGATATCATCAAGTCCAACCTATGTTTGCTTTTGCCCTGGGGGAAATTAGAATTTCCAGGAATTAGAAATTAAGAGTTTCCAGGGCACTGTTCTACCAGGTGAAGACCTGATGAGGTTAACATCTCAACAGACTGGGAGTAGCCCAAAAGATACCCAAAAATATAACGACTATCAGCAGAACATCATCAGCCATCAGCAAACATCAACAAACGTCTACTTCAGGAACTGCCCCCTGGCATGGTTAGAGACCTGCTCCAGAAAAGACTGATAAGGAAACCAGGGAGTGAGAACCTAATTAACATCATTAACACCAGAGGCGAAGAAATCCAGATCCAGTAGAAAACCAAACACTAAGAACTGTGTAACCTAGAGCCAATGAACATTGAACCAATGAATCTCTAGGGTCTTAACTATATAAAGTATTCAAAAAATCAGGTAAAATTCATGTGTCATGAAATGATTTTCTCTGCACACCTGGGATAAGTGTGAATGAAATGTTTTCTGCTGCACATCCTGGCCAGAACAACACCCTGGCCAGAAATAAAGTAATGCCTTGATTCTCTAATGCTAAAAATGTTAGAGGGCAGTTGTTGTTTTTCCTGCAGTTTCAGAGACAACACCAATGCAATTTTTTTTACCTGTGACTTTGTGTGTCAATTCACACTGCACAGCTCTGATTCTATCTACAGGAGACGGAGACTCAAGCCTCGTAAAGTCCAGGTTGGGCTATGAGCAAAAGAAAAAGCTGGTCCCAGCACTGAACCCTAAAGCATGTCTCCAGCTCTGCTAAAGCTGCCCTCACTCTTCATCACACAACACCCTTATCCCACTCATGGCATGTGCTCCCTCCTCCACCTGCCACACTTGAGGTTCCCACAGTAGCTTGCCCTCTGAGTCCTGATCCCTGTGACTCTTCCTCCTCTGCAAAAGGAGCTAAAATAACTCTTTCTTGCCTAGCTTAAAAATAAGCTATGCCTTGAAGTCATCTATTTATGCCTTTTTTTGGTTGTAGTTTTATTGAAAAAGCTGGTATTAACATATTTATATTTTTATTCAACAACAGTTAGCTAATTTGTGCAACACAAAAAATGCAGCCATGAACAACAGCTTTCAAAACAATCAGATTTACCAACTTTACCATCACTTACTCTACACCACTGAAAGCTCAAACTAAAAAGAGAAAAAAAGTTGGAAATGTTTACAATGATGATGTTAACTTTCCATACATTCAAGAAACCAGGAAACCGATCTGTAACAGTGGTGTCAAAGACAGGAACGGAATACTGGTCTTTGAAAGGCTTCTATTTATTTCCTCTATATTTACTTCATGGTATTTTGGTTGGGTATTTAATTAGTTTTATAAAGCTCCAAAGATATATTTGTTTATTTAATTTTAACATGTTCTTTTTGGTACCCAAAGCTGTGACAGAGTAAGGTACTTCAAATTAAAAACAAAAAATGGTTGTATTTAAGATCTGTTTTATAATAAGTTATCTATAGAATCTTACTTGAGAATGTTAAAAGCTAAATATATGTTTTACAGTATCTCTAGCTGTAAATGCCAATATGGGCTGATAGCAATTTTTTTTTTTTTTCATTTTGAGCTGCAGAGATTAATGGAGGGGGCCAAAAGTCAAAGAAATTGTACGACACCCTTGAAGCAGTAGTTTGGCATTAACAAGTTCTCTATACAATTTACCACACTCTTAAACCTTTTTTACAAGAAAGAAGAAAAGGAAAAGGCAATTTTGTTAAATTTCATTAGAATAAATATGTACATATACTGTCCATGCCTGCTACAGCACACAGTATTTTATAAACAAACATTCTTTGTTCCCTTTAAAATCACCCTACACATTTCATACCATATGTGTTTAGTGTGGTTGGAAACTGGTGCACGTGTTTGCGCTTCTACACACAAAATATACAGCATTGATCTAGAAAATTTCAAACAGACATTTCAGGTGTGGTGTTGAGATGTCATATAAAAGCTCTAGACTTTTTTTTTTTTATTTCTTGTAAGCAGATTTTCACCCACCCTTCCCCCCAAACCAAAATACAAAAGCATGCAGATCCCTTCATCAGTACATTCTCCACTTACCAAGAAGTCAGTGCATAATGGCTTAAAGACTTTTTTTTCTGAGGAGTGTTAATATGGGCAGATTAACAGGTCATGTGAGTTGTGCTCTTTTATTCATGGTTAGAGTAGGAATCCTTTGGGATATTGAATTATCTGCCAGAGCTATTAAGGGTGCAGTAGAACTTTCCCTGCATTAAGAGGACTTCCTGCTCACTGCACCATTCCTGTACCATTCCTACATGCCCTACTTTGTGTGTACTTTCCATTTATGCCACTCATCATTACAAAACAGAGATTAGGTCTAACAGCATTTCTGTGGAGGAAGGTTTTGTTAGGTTTGGATTTTTCAAATTTTCATTTTTCTCCAGGACTAACTTTGTCTCCCAGAAGTGGCCTGGTTTAAAAGTGTTAAAATTCACTGAGCGATGCTGCCTCTCACAGTGCCATTCTTTTCACAGTTACAGATACCAGGCATTGCCTGTACTCCCCAAAGGCCAGGATTAACATAACCATTCCGCAAACAACAAACAAGGGACTTTATCAAGTGTCTAGCAGGGATGTAAGTTTGTTCCCACTCTAGTTGGTTGCTGCCTTCAAGGAACATTTCTAGCCAAGGTTTCCAGAACTCCAACCCCAAATGGTAGCACGGGTTTGTGTGTGAATTGCCAGTCTGTGTCTGACCAGCCAGTCCCTGCAGAGTTGCAATGCCACGTTTTTTAACAGTCGTCACACAATGAAGATACTACTTACTTTTTTAAACAGAGCAAAGAGAACCATGAAGAATAAACTTCTTTAAAAAGCTGGCTGAGTAACTATACGAGTAACTGTAAATCCACTTACTCACTTGGGAAGGTGAAGCACAAAGTAATGTGATAAATAAATAAATAAATAAATAAATAAGAGGGTATTGTAAAGAAGGGAATGGGATGGGTGAGATGAGGCAGCTTTTCACCAGCAGGGATTCTGCTTCCAGCTCTAACTGTAATGAGGTCCCTCCAATGTGCCACAGGCTCTAAAGGGATGTGGCTATTCATTCTTTCAAACAGGCTCGGCTTAATTGAAAGACAGGAAAACAGCACTGGAAAAAAAACAATCAAGAGATTGAAGCAAAAAGCTCTAATAATGTGGTAAATGCTGTGCACTGCAAAAGCAGGAAGGGCACCAGAACACCACAGTCCTGCAAACCACTGAGACCCTTGAAAGGATGGACAGGAGTTGAGGAGCCTCAGTCCTCCTCAGGAACATTCCTAAACTGAATAAATACCCCTGTTTGTTTAAAGGAACCGATACAGACCACAGTACTGGATTTGCACTCGTGCCTTTTACTCATACAGTTGCAGTGATGGAAAATAATTGGCTTGCCACCAATAATGATACAGGCTGAGGGATGAAAGGATGTAATCTACAAATCCCACCACAGAAGCCACAATTTTTGTGAAGATCACATCCTTCTACAACTGTCAAGAGGCTGGTTTGTAAATATAGAGGGATATTGATAAATCTAGTGCATTTCTGAGTTCACTTTATCCTGAAATATGTACAGATTGTTTGTCGCTGCTATAGCAATGATGTTCTCGGTTGGGTGCCATGCTGTGTGCAAGATCTTCTTAGTAAAGTCCAAACTGTCAACACTGATGTCATCTTTCCTCCGTTTGCCTCCAACGCAGACTCTCCGGGGCTTAAGAATGGCTCGTGGCTTACTGCTCTCGCGGGAAGCCTCCAAGGTGACATCCCGCTTGGTGTTGCGGTCAAACATTCGAAAAAAGTTGTTATATGCACCTGTCATTATCACACTGCAGAGAGACAGAGAGAGCGACAACAAAGGCAGTTAAACAGCAGCTTGTGCAAAGCCTACCAACATGACTGGATCAGGACAGCTGAGTTTGACCCTAGGGTTAGCTGTCTTCTGGTATCAGATGGGAAACAGTAAGGAAAAAAACCGGGTTTTCCCAGTTCTCCCCAGAATGAACGGTTGCCTTCTACCAATGCCTTCCCCTCCCTTATTATTCAATGAAAATTACAGTTACCTCAAATAATGTCTGCTCCCTGACATCATGAGAATCACATCACAAGATAATAAAAGCAACATGCTTTAATAAATTATTTTTAATTACCCTCCAGCTTTTTATGAGTGCTTAAGGATCATACATTTCATGCTTTTTCCCATTCTGTGGAACTTTAATGACAGCTGAGTTTTACCATGATTCCTGAAATAGTCTCAAAATTTCCCACATATTTCAAATCTTTTGATACAACAGTAACATTTAGTACAATTATATATTTTAAAGAGTATTTTGAAGAAGGGTGTTTCGAAAGGTTCTGAAAAATCACACTGAATTTTCACATGTAAATTCTTTCCAGATGAAACTCTTTTCCTTGCTGAAGCCACAGATATTGCAAGTCCAGACATCATTAAAATATATATCTATAATGCTTCTTAGAAATAAACACACTAGTGTCAGGATATGAAGTTTGTATATGAAGTTTGAATGAAACATCAAGTCAGGATATATTTCTGGGTCTGGGAGAAAGGGATAGAAAACACACCTCGATCTGTATAAAAATTACCTCATTAATCAGCTTGCAGTTTGAAATAATAGATTGCCAGTTGCTTCATTCCTCTAGTCCCTAGGGGAGGATATTTTGTCACTAACTTTAATGAATTCAGGATTTCATCCATGGCCCTCAGGTTATTGGATTAGCATAATCATGGGTTTCAGAGCCTTGTTTGAAAGCTCATCCCCTGTGAACTTTTTCCATATGTGAAACCAGGGCTGTTCTCTACTCTCCTATCTCAGCCTCAAACAGGGTGGTTTTGTTCTGAATTTCCATTTTGTAAGAGGGTATCCACCCCAAATGGTCAGATCTCAACAGGAAAAGCTGTACAGTTTTAAGACTCAGGCAATCATTAACTATTTGCCTTTCTAACAGAGCCCAAAAGAAGATATTTGCCATGTGTGGCATTAATAAACAAACCTCCATTGCAAATGACAGCTGCTTTCACACTTTGCTGTTGGGGGGGGAATCTTTGCTGAGCAGTAGATGGCCAGGGAAACATGGAGCATATGGGAGAATCTGGGAGAACTCACAGGCATAAGCCTTACTCTGCACCACAGACATTCTCTAGCTGATTAGATTAGATGCTCCTGGAGTCACAAGTGCCTTGCAGTGCGTGCCCAGCCTCCAGCCAGAGCCGCTTGATCTCATCTGGGGCCATTAGGAGTGACTGTAATACAAATGGATGATCACTGGAAAAGCACAAATGTGAGCTGTGCCCCTCACTGCTGCGACTAAGCTGGGGAGGGAGCAGAGCAGGCTCCAGAGCCGCTGCAGGGTAACTGGAGAGGGTGAGCTGGGTTTGCACACTGGGAATCACCCAGCTCCACGCTGCTCCCGTGGCTGCTGAGGCCATACCGCAGCAGGTCCCGCACTGAGCCCGAGATCACAGCGCTGCACAGCACACAGCGTGGCACAGAGAGCCAGCACCCTCGGCCAGAGCTCACCTGCAGCCTTCACCTCATGGGGAGGGGCTGCTCCCGGGGCTCTGCAGGTCGCTCGCTGCTGGGGGATGCACAGGGACACTTGTCCCCACTTGTCCCCGCTTGTCCCCATCCAGCCCCGGCAGGGAGCTCCTCGCTGCTCTCCGGCAGCAGGACCCACCCCTGATGGAGAGGTTTCCCTTCCCTTCTGTACCCGCAAAAGGCCTGGCGCAATCCTGCCGAGCAAGGCACAAGTTAACAACATCACAAGCTAAAAAACAGGAGTCACCGTGACAGCTTGATAAAATGTATCCCAGAAGCTGCAGAAAGCCTATTGATCACGATTAGTGCCCATTTCAGAAATTGAATCAACAGCAGTAAATCAAGTGTTTCATTCCTTCCAAATCACCATGTCTTGTCATTATAGCTCCTGTTGTAATGTTTATTTGCAACATGAAAAAGTAGAGGTTATTTCATATCCCAGCACTAACATACACAATTTGTGATGCAAACAGTCCATCTGTGTATTTCCCCCCAGGCCAAGTTTTGAAACAGGTTCATAATGCTGGGGCACCCCTGTGCCACAGGCTGTAGAGCGGTGGCTCCCAGGGGAGAGAGGAGCATCCCTCCTGATGGCAGCAGGAGCTGCCAGAGAAGCAGTTCTCATGCTGGCAGAGTACCAGTGCACCAAATGCAGAGAGAGGTGTTTGTTAAGGGTCTTATTTTAGAAGGTTTTGCTTACAGTAAAGCTGCCTTTACAGTCCATTTGCTTTTTAATTTCTTGAAGTCTTGCATATTTTTAAAAGTCTGCTTTCTTCAGTTGGATTTACTGCAGTTATTTTTTTAACATATGTAGATGACTGCTTTTCATGCTGGCCCTATTTGTCTGCAGTTTAATGGCTCAGTAAAAAACAGCATTATGTAAATGAGAAAGTGCCCATTCTTGTTCAAGGTCACAAACACAGATGGATTATAACCTTACCTGCTGCTTAAAGTAATAAAAGAGAGTGAAAACTAGATGCAAGCCTGCGATTTTTTCTTGTTCAAGAAAATACAATGTACACTAATGGAGTCTATGTGATAAGGAGATATTTTTTTAAATAGTAGAATATAAATTGAAACTCAATGTAGGAAGAGTCTGTTCTGTATTCCCAGACACTGCTCTGCACAGCAGTGTTACGATGAGGACTTGCACAAAACCCTTGCAGGAGAGGTTGGTTCAAGAAACCAAAGCCCTTAATTTTAAACAGCCCACACTATTTCACAGATGTGTAAGGCAGCAGCCTAGAAAAGCTGTCTAACCACTTTGAATTTTCCTTAGAAGGCAGGTTAACAAGTTGTGCACAAGACCAGAGGTGCCATCATCTCCACCATGCAGAGGTTTTTAGGACACAGAACAGGCTCCAGTGCACCTTGAGGAGCAGTGCACTGATAGCTCAGGCTGGAGCAAAGCTGCAGCCTGACTGCACCAGCTCTACACTTCAGCTACAAGAAGCACCATTACAAAAAAAACCCAAATAAAACAACATCACACCCCACCTGCCCCCAAACAATCCCCCCAAATCAAACAAAAAAGCAGGGAAAACCCCCAAGGGCTGCAGCATGACTACCAGCACCTACATTTCACCTTCTGCACCTCATCCAGTGTCCTGGAAGGAGAGACAGCACCCCATACCTGCAGAGCCCTGAATGCATTCACAAACCCCCGGGTTTACCCTCCTGCGCTGCCCCAGGCAGGGAACACTTTCCCCTCAGCACAGGGCTGCTCTGCAGAGCACCCCGAGTATTCTCTGCTCCCCCTCCTCCATCTGCTCCAAGCAATGTCCTGGCAATTCTTCAGGTGTGAGTGTTTGGAGTGACTACACAAAATGCTACTGGCCATATTTGCTTATCCATGATGCGATCTGAGGCATCTCACGGCCAAATTTCAGTCCTCATGTGGGGTCACTGGGGCCCAGTCTTACCCCTCCTTTCTTTTTTACCAGAATAACAAATGTATTTTTACAGAAGGTACAAGGGGAAAGGGAAAACTCCAGTGCAGAGCAATCCCTACTTCTATTGACTTATCTTTTCACTCCCTCCCTAGTTACTGTTCTTTTCCCTTTCTCTTCCCCTCCGATTCTGATTCTGTCTTTAGCACATTTTCCAGACAGGTTTCCTTTTTCCCCTCTCTTAATTCTCCCCTCTTCTTTCACTTCCATCTATCCTGCTCTACAACTTTAAAAAAAAACACTTTATCTGCTTCTCTCTTCCTTTTCTCCCATCCCTCTAAAGTCTTTATTTTATTTCTGTAAGTCTCATTCTCACCCTTTCTTGGTTACCTGCCCCTACCCTCCAGTCTTGAAGACTACTTTCTTGGATCTCCAGGTGTTTTGGCTTGCATCCCTGCCTTCTTTGGGCTGAAGGCTGTGGAAACAGCAAATCCCCAAGAACCAAAGCTCATTTGGGCAGGAGAGGTAGTTCCCAAACTATCAGACCATTAACTATACATCTCCCATCCAGTTCAGGCTTCTTTACCCTGCACCACATTGATCTGTCAGATAGGTTGTTTAAAATTAATTTTGAAAAGAAAATCTGTAAAATCATCTGAAATAAAGGATTTGAGAGAAAAAAAAGTTATTCCTGTTTGCATTGCAACAGTAATACTCAAAAGGAGCAGATGTTTACCTATGGATAATGATTTTGTTATGACATCAGCATTGTACCACTGATGTTTAATTTAGGGCCAGAGTTTTAGGGTCTAGAGAAGCAATCTCTCAACTACTGATGGCTTCTGCAACTTTAATTATTGAAATACTTTTAAGCATCTTAGTCTTGATATTTTGGTTTTGGTAGTGACTTTGTTAAATGAAATGCTTCAATATGGAATTTTCCCCACTAAAAAGTTCTGCTTCTCTTGGGTGGCCAACAAATTCTCTACTCACCATCTTCAAAGGCATCTGAATATGATTTTCACCATTTTACTAACCTCCAATAAGATATTCCACAATATTTTTTAGGCAATGAGATTTCATCAAATATCTCAGTCACTAAGAACTGGCATATCTCTGTATTTCTCAGTTTTGTTACTCCCCTACTTCAAGCCAACCTCTTAAATGTTATCCATGTTGAAGCCATCCTTGTACACAACAGCCTTGTCTTAGTTTAGGGCAAATTAGGAAGGAAAACTCCAAATGGGGATTTCCCCAGGGAAATGCCCCTCCCCACTAACTGGTCCGGGAAAAGAAAAAAAAATTCCTTAGAGAGAAGTGGAAAAAGCTGTTTATTTAACAGAAATTGAGTAATATTAAATAATAAAACGTCTTGCTGTTCAA